GGTCAGGAGTTTGAGACCATCCTGGCCAATAATTTGGTGATTAGCTGGGCGTGGTGGCGGGCACCTGTAGTCCCAGCTACTTAGGAGGCTGAGGCAGGAGAATCGCTTGAACCCAGGAGGCAGAGGTTGCAGTGAGCCGAGATCGCGCCACTGAACTCCAGCCTGGGTGACAGAGCGAGACTCTGTCTAAATAAATAAATAGATAGATAGATAGATAGACAGACAGACAGACAGATAGATAGATAGAGAAGGATGCTTTTCCTCAGAGAGAATGGCATTCAGTACTAACAGTCACAGCCAAGAAAAGGGACATGCCAAGCCTCACCACACCAAGAAGTGTTAAGTCACCATGTGGTCACAGACAAAGTGCCAGGGACACAACTTGCTTGGCACTTAATCTCTTCAACACCAAGAAACTCCAATGCTATGATCCTCAACCTAATCCTTTACTCAGTTTGTATTATAATATTATATAGATCCAATCGGTTATTTGTAAAATACGTAAGGCACAAAGAATAACAAAACAATGTGAATCCACCATTCAATTTCAGGAAAAGTCCATCACTCCTGAAATTCCCTGGGTGCCCTTCCCCAACCCCATCCCCCTCCCTCCTCCCTCAAAAATAACTGCTATTTGTCTTTTGGGTTTATCATTTCCTAGCTTTTTTTTTTTTTTTTTTTAACAGGTTTACCATATTTGTTTATCTAAGCAATGTAGGTATTGTTTAGTTTGGGACGTTTGTGAACCTTACACATATGGACTCCAATGAATTCTTTTGTGATTCACTTTTCACTTGATGTGAAATGAAGCCACATGGTTATGTGTATCTGCAACGTATTCCTTTTCACAGCTGCGTAGTATTCCATTGTGTCTACACCACAAATTATGTATTCATTCTAATGTTGATGGGTATTTATTTGGGTTGCATTCAGAGCTTAGAATCAGGCTGATTTCCACTTTATACATGTCTCCTGGGACATATATGCAAATATTTCTCTGCTATTAAATCCTGGGAATGGCACTGTTGGTTTACAGGGTATGTTCATTTTTATACCGCCAAATTGTTTTCCAAACTGACTATAACAATGTCTCACATCAGTACAGCAACCTTATTTTAAATAAGAGTTGTCAATGAATTCTCAGAAATTGAATTCTAGGCGGGGCACAGTGGCTCATGCCTGTAATCCCAGCACTTTCAGAGGCTGAGATGGGTGGATCATGAGGTCAGGAGTTCAAGACCAGCCTGGCCAATATAGTGAAACCCTGTCTCTACTAAAAATGCAAAAATTAGCCGGGCATGGTGGCGCGTGCCTGTAGTCCCAGCTATTCGGGAAGCTAAGGCAGGAGAACTGCTTGAACCCAGGAGGCGGAGGTTGCAGTGAGCTGAGATCATACCACTGCACTCCAGCCTAGGCAATAGACTAAGAATCCGACTCAAAAAAAAAAGAAAAAAGAAATTGAATTCTAATTCATTTTTAATACTCTTTTTCTAATTATAAAAGTAATGTATTCAGTTTAAAATGCAAATATCACAGAGACAGTCTAGAATAGCCATGGACACAAACAGCAGCACTAATACATAGCACTGTTGGGTGCATATTCCTCCAGAATTTCTTAATATACATATGAATACACATGAGAGTTTAGTGTATTTTTAAAACACATATACTAATATACTATTCAAATTATTTTACATTTTGCTTTTTCTAAACATGTCATGCACATTTTCCTGTATCATTGCATACAGGTTACTTCACTCTACTGTCAAGTAAAATTCCACATTTTTTAAAAGGATTGCTATCTTATTTTATTTCATTTTATTTTATTTTAGAGACAGAGTTTCACTCTGTTGCCCAGGCTAGAGCGCAGTGGCAAAATCTCGGCTCACTGCAACCTCCACCTCCTGGGTTCAAGTCATTCTTGTGCCTCAGTCTCCCTGGTAGCTGGGACTACAGGTGCGCACCACCGCACCCAGCTAATTTTTGTATCTTTAGTTGAGCCGGGGTTTAACCATGTTGGCCAGGCTGGTCTCGAACT